CGCTATTTTTTTCAGTATTTCCTAATTTCTTGGAGAATTTTGTTGATTTATAATGAACAATTAATGGAATATCAGTTATTGGTTTCTGTTTTCGAGGTGTAAGTGCAACTGGTGCTCTTTCTTTTTGCCTGTAGAACTAGAACTTTCCTTTGATCCTGGCCGTGCCTTGATTTATTTTGTGAAGTGCTTCAGAAAGAATGGAGCATGCATAGGGTTTTCTGATATTGGAATAATGGTATCTTGCACATTACATTTCAGGTTTCATAGTTTTGATCCTTAAGTTCCTTCTGTTTGGTTGTGTTGCTCATGTCACTTCTAGCTTGTAGTTTATCGTGCCTTCTTTATTCTTTACTTGATCTCTCTCTCAACACTTTACATTGTATCATCTCAACACTTACCTTCCCTCTCATCTGTAATACGCAGTTTTAGCTAAAGATAATAAGCTTTTAGTTTATTTTTAGTAATAAAGTTAGAGTCTATTTAAATTAGGAAATAAATTTAATATTAGAGTCAAATTAGATTAGGAAATAAATTTAATTTTGATTCATGATTTGTTTCCTCTATTATAGGGAGTCTTTTTTTAGGGTAGGATTTAATACTTTCTTTTTTTTTTGGTAATTTTAGACTTACTAGGAGTCTTATTTGTTATTCTATTTAAGAAGAGACATGTAACCCCAAAGGAATAAGATCACTTTTATCAATAAAATTCTCTTTTATATTAATTTGTGGATTCGAGCTTGTCTCTTCGTGGATTCGAAGATTGTTTTTTGTGGATTCAGAGAACACCCTTGGTGGATTTCGAGATTTATTACTTCCGCGCTACATTAATTGGTATCAGAGACTTATTTTTCTAATTCGATGGTAGACAACGAAGCCCCTATTTCTTGAACTGAGTTCGATGAGTTGAAGACCGATGTTAATTAGATTAAAACTGTCGTAGATCGACTTACGTCGGTAATGGAGCGTCTAAACAAGGTAGGAGTTAAAAATCACGTTGATGGTCGCCAACAACGTGATCTGACCCCACAAGACGAATTCAACAACGACAATGATGACTATGAAGCTCCACGCCACGATTATGATCACAGAGGCCGCTAATGACGAGACAATTATGACATTAGAGGACTAAAGATACCATCCTTAAACGGAAAGATTCATGTTGATGATTTCCTTGATTGGATTAGTGAAGTGGATAGATATTTTGAGTATGAGATAATCCCAGAAGTTTGGAAAGTTAAATTACTGGTTTACAGACTTAAAGAAAAAACATATGTATGGTGGGATGAAGTATTGATAAGTCAACACCATCAAGCGCAGGATTCGATTTGAACATGGGCAAAGATGAAGGAATTGTTGAAAGCTCATTTCCTTCCTATATATTATTATGTGTTCAATCGATATCCTAGTTCACACTCTAACTATGGTCATGCAAGGATTAAGCAGGCCCAATTTGATCTTATGCAAGACTCTGGAGTTAGGAAGAGCATTGAAGTAACAATAAAGAAAGAAGAACCACCTCCTGAGCACTATATTTTTCGTACGAGATGCACTGTGATGAAGAAGATTTGTAATGTTATCATTGACAAACGCAGTAGCAAGAATCTTGTCTCTCGGCGTATGGTGAATAAGTTAGATTTGAAGACAGGAAACACCCATCTCCCTACAAGGTTAACTGGATTCGCAAGAGCAATGATGTACAGAACGATGAGATGTGTCGGATACCTTTTTCTATCGGCCGCAACTATGTTGATGAGGTATTGTGTGACGTGGTCGAGATAGATATTTGTCATATACTTTTAGGTAGGCCATGTCAGTTAGATGTTGGTGTCACTCACAGGTATTGCACTCATGCCTCTTTCAGAAAAGGAATCATCCATGATAGAGCCTACTGAGAGGAAGAAATTTCTAGCAGTAGACAACAAGATTTAGCCGAAGATTTGAAGCAATCTAAAGAGGTCTATGCATTGGTTGTGATTGGAAAAGGAGAACTTGTCCGTGCTGAAATTCCTCCTAAGGTGCAAACACTCATTATGCATGAGATTCATGATGCTGATGGTAATGTGATAGAAAAAATGGATATTATGCATGATATTCCCAAAGAGGTTGTGAGCAATATTGCACATATTGATATTGCAACTGATAATATGTGTGAATTGCTTAGTGGAGGGTCCAAAACAAAGAAGATGGAGTGCACGGGAAATTCTTCTAGAGAGTGAGGCAATTGATGATATGTGTGAATTGCTTAGTGGAGGGTCCAAAACAAAAAAGATGGAGTGCAAGGAAAATTCTTCTTTTGAAATAAAGAGCATCAATGATTTCGACAAGATTGAGATGAAACTTCAGGCACAAGAATATGAAAAGAAACAAGGCAAATATTTTGACAAGTTTTTCAAGTCATCTGTAGATCCACATGCTGTCGGTCATGTAAACATGGTGTGGAAAAGATTTATTCAAAAGTTTAATTTAGAAGAAGCTCTAGCCGAAGAGGAAAAAGAACAGATAAAGAAAATCAATGCTAAGTATAAGGTGGACGCTGATCGATGCAGAAGAAGAAAATTGTTTATCAATGAAGCTACTATTCTAACAAATATAAGCTCGGGGTCGAGCTTCTTTCAACAAGGGGAGACTAATGTAGGACGCTTAACGGATAATTTCATAGAGAATTTGAACAATCACGAGCTAAGTACATATTTATACGTATTATTGACTTTTGCAAAGAAATAATCATATCTTGGGAAAATTTGTAAAATAGTCCATTTTTGCTAATTATTTAGCAAAATAGACCGTTTTGCTAAATAATTAGCAAAATAGGCATCTTTTGAAAAAAGTGATCGATTTTAAAAAACAAGACTCAGAAAACATATGGGACTATGTTCTCTGAGTTCATCTCAATGTTTTGTGAAATTTTCTGAGTTCACTAATCCGTGATTAAAACATACGGGACTACTAGTCCCGTATGTTTTCTGAGCTATTTTGCAAAATAGACCTCTTTTTGGCTTGTTGGCCAAAAAGAGGTATATTTTGCTAATTATTTAGTAAAACGGTCTATTTTGCTAAATAATTAGCAAAAACGGACTATTTTACAAAATTTTCCTCATATCTTCTAAACTGGAAGGCGGATTCTGACATATTATATATGTAAATCGTCTATCTCGATGAGACGGAGCCAACCATATTGTTAGATTTTTAAAATTTTATCAGTAATACCTAGTTTTGGCTGATATCTAAAATTAATCAGATTTTAGTTTATTTTTAGTAATAAAGTTGGCGTCTATTTAGATTAGGAAATAAATTCAATATTAGAGTCAAATTAGATTAGGAAATAAATTCAATTTTAATTCATGATTTGTTTCCTCTATTATAGGGAGTCTTTTTTAGAGTAGGATTTAAAAATTTCTATTCTTTGTAATTCTAGTCTTAGTAGGACTTTTATTTGTTATTGTATTTAAGAAGAGACATGTAACCCCAAAGGAGTATGATCACTTTTATCAAAAAAATTCTTTTTTATATTACTTTGTGGATTCAATGTTATCTCTTTGTTGGTTCAAAGATTATTCTTTGTGGATTCAGAGAGCACCCTTTGGTGGATTCCGAGGTTTATCACTTTCGCTCTACGTTACAGTGTCCGCCTGCGACTCAAAGCCAAAGGGGTTATGTAAAGATTGCAATCGTTCGATTGGCACTATACTAATACAAAGTTGTGCATGTTAGAGTCAATTCAGTTTAATATTGACTTGATGGAGGGTCAATTGTGGGTTTAGTAGGGATTTGGCTCCACAATTAGTTAGTCCCTGGCACAAGTAATGTGGATTTTATCTATCCACTGCTTTCATACCTTTTAACCCTTCTAGATCAACATTAAAATGTACCATAAATGTATCAAAATTCACTTCCGATCAACTATTACATTAAGAACAAACTACTATCATCATCCAACACTAGTAGAAAAATAAACAAACTAGACTGATCAAACTAGATAGAATTATTTTCCATCTAGTTTGATACAAACTAGACAAAAAAATTTCCGTCTAGTTTGAGACTATCTAGATGGAATTTGAGGCAATCTAGACAGAAAATTCCGTCTTCTCTCTCTCCTCGCTCTCTCGATCTGATCTCTTCGTCTCTCTCTGTAGATCTCTTCATCTCTCTTGAACTCTGAGTCTTTCTCTCTCTCTGGTTCTCTCTCTCTCTCTCTCAATATCTTCGTCTCTCTCTCAATCTCTCCGTCTCTTATCTCCGTCTCCCTCTCTCTCAGTCTCTCTCAATCTTTGAGTCTCTCTCTCTTCACTTTTTTTTAAAAGACTAATTTTTTTTATGCAGCTTCGTGCTACTGCTGAGCTACTGAGCAAGTCACTTCATTTGGTATTTTGTTTTTTTAAATTTTAGTTTCAATTTAAGTTTTAATTTCTTAACATATGAATATTTTTTTTCAATTTCAATTTTAGTTTTTAACACAAATGAATTATTAACATTACACAAATGAATTATGAATATTAACATTTCAATTTGTTATGGCAATGATGATGAAGTTTTGTCAATTCCAATTATTTGTTAGTCAATAATTATATTACATTCACACCTTTGTATTTATCACATAAGTTTAATAAGAGTTGGAATTTATTCTCTCTTTTATGTGTCATGACACTAAGTAAAACAAGAACCACATCCTAATTAGAAAATAGGAATAAAATATGAATATACTTATGAAGATTTTCTAATTAGAATAGGAAGATTTTCTAATTAGAAAATAGGTATACAATATGAATATACATATTTAAAGAATGAATTATGGATATTTATTTTGGCAGTTGTGTTGGAAAATTTGATTGATCTTTCATCCTTGCTCGTTGCTACTTAACTCTCAAGTATAATCTGTAAAAAGAAAAACAAAGTCAGTGAGCATTCATCCTTGCTCGTTGCTACTTAACTCTCAAGTATAATCTGTAAAAAGAAAAACAAAGTCAGTGAGCAACAACTTATTAATTAGTATAATTAAGTATAATCTGTAAAAAGAAAAACAAAGTCAGTGAGCAACAACTTATTAATTAGTATAATTAGAAAAAGAACTTAAAATAGTAATTAGCATGCTAACTAATAAATTATGGACATGTAAATATTTAATTGTTAATCACTTAATTCTTACTTAAAAACATATTTCATATTTTAAATAAAAATACATATTTCTTGCATTGTAATTTGTACTTGTTACTTGTTGTTTATACTAAATCAAGATTTTCGTATTATGTTCCATATATGTTATGGTTTAATATTTAATTAGTACTTGTTACTTGTTTATAGCAATAGAAGCAGAAGGTAGTTCTGGTGCACAGTCTGTTCAAGATGATCACACTCCTTTATGGAAGTATGTCACAAAGTTGGAGAAGATGGGTAAAGGAGGGGGAATTGGCAGTGGATGCGTAGTTACTGTCATGAAGTATTTACATCCTTCTACTCAAGGGTCAAAGCCCATCTAATACGGATTAGTGGACAATAATTTAAAATGTGCAAAGGTGTTAAACTGCACAATATGAGAGACATGCAAACTGATATGGATCAAGCGGAAGCAAGGGTGAGGTCTTCTATGCCTAGGACAGTGACGCTGCCAAGTTCTTCAGCGTCAAGTGCAGCAGCAGGAAATCAAATCATGTCTTCTCGTCCAAGTGAGCTAAAGAGGAGGAGGGGAGTCACCACCGTTGAACATGCCTTCAATACAAGGGCAAGAGATGAATTGGATTCAATGATTGCAAGGATGTTCTATATCGGTGAGCTGTCATTTAATTTGGCAAGAAATCCTTATTTCTCCAAGATGATCACATATGTCGCAAGCAATTCAATTGCCGGTTACAAGCCTCCAGGTTATAATTCTTTGAGGATCACTCTTTTGTAACGTGAGAAGGCTCTCATAGAGAGGTTGTTGGAGCCCATCAGGGACACATGGAAGCAGAAGGGGTATCTATTTGTAGTGATGGCTGGGCAGATGCACAGAGGAGGCCATTGATAAATTTTATTACGGTCTCAGAAAGCGGGCCAATGTTCTTGCACTGCGTGAATGCGCCGAGGGAGAGCAGAAGAATAAATATTTCATTGCAGAGAAACTTGAAGATTGCATTAGAGAGGTAGGGCCTTAAAATGTGATTCAAATCATTACTGGTAACGCTTCAGCATACAAGGCCGCATGGGCAGTTGTGGAGGGCAAATTTCCACACATCTTCTGGACTCTGTGTGTTGTTCACACCCTCAATCAAGCCCTTAAGAATATCTGTGCTGCGAAAAATACAGAGACTAATGCAATTGCTTATGCAGAGTGCAGTTGGATTACAGAGGTATCTGATGATGCTTTGATGATTAAGAACTTCATCATGAATCACTCAATGAGGCTGTCTATGTTCAATGAGCATTCGAAGATGAAGCTTCTTTCAATTGTTGATACCCGATTTGCTTCATGGATCATCATGTTAAAGAGGTTCATGGTGATCAAGAGAAGCCTCCAAGATATGGTTCTTAGCGATCGTTGGAGCTTGTACAGAGATGATGGTGTGGAAAAAACACAATTTGTTAAGGAGAAAGTGCTTGATGATTTGTGGTGGGATAAGGTGGATTATATTATTGATTTCACTGCTCCTATATATGATATGATCCGGCTCACAGATACCGACAAACCCAGCCTTCATTTGGTATATGATATGTGGGATACAATGATTGAGAAGGTGAAGTTTGTTATTTATAGACATGAGGGCAAAAGAGAAAATGATCCCTCCTCATTTTATGATGTCGTACACAAGATCTTGGTGGCTAGATGGAATAAGAGCAACACGTCACTTTAGTGCTTGACGCACTCTTTGAATCCAATATAATAATTTAGATTATGTTATCAATTCATTATTTTTGATGTGATTATTTTTATTAATAATATCTAATTCAATGTTAAACTTTAATAGATATTATCACGAGACATGGCTCAATGAGAATATCCATCGGCAAGCACCCCATCAGGATGAGGAGATCTCTTCGGAAAGGTCTAAGTGTCTGAGGAGATATTATCCTAATGCCGATGAACGGAGGACAGTTAACTTGGAATATGCTAGATTCTCGGCCGCTCTTGACACTTTTAGTGATCCAGATGCTCTTGCTGATGGAGGATTGATTGATTCAAAACCATGGTGGGTGTTCTATGGATCCTCAGCTCCAAATCTGCAAGCATTGGCCTTAAAGCTTCTGGGCCAACCCTGCTCATCCTCTTGCAGCGAAAGGAATTGGAGTACATACTCATTCATTCACTCTTTGAAGAGGAACAAGATGACACCGGCAATGGCAGAAGATCTTGTGTATGTGCATAACAATCTTCGTTTGCTTTCTCGGTCATCCCAAGAATATCAAGAAGGAGAATCGAAGCTGTGAGATATTAGTGGAGATGCATTCGACTCATTTCAGGGTGCTGATATTCTTGATGTCGCCACCTTGTCTCTTGATGAACTCACCATAGAGGCCGTATTGTTTGCTGATGATGAAGGTAATGAAAAGGTCATCGGACTAGCTTCCACTTCATCTTGATGTATTTTTTGTTTACAAACTTGTTATTTTGTGATAGAAAGAATGAGTATGTACTCCAATTCCTTTTTGTTTACAAACTTGTTATTTTGTGATAGATTCATAATTTAGTTTGTTAGTTGAATTTTATAAATTTTTTTATATATAATAATACTTTGAAAAAAATTCTTGCCGTATCCCCGTATCCTATATTTTTTGGATTTTGTCGTATCCCGTATCCGTGTCCGTGTCGTATCTGTGTCCCGTAACCGTATCTGTGCATCAATATCCTCCAATTACTCTCTCTCTCTCTCTCTCTATCTACTTTCTCTTATAACAATTAGACCATCGCCGAGTGCCAGAACGCCGATGCCATCGTGCTGACCTACGCTTGTGATCGCCCGTCCACCCTGGATCAGCTAAGTATCTACTGGCTTCCGGAGTTGGTTGAGGAGGCTGGAGGTGAAATATTTTCTTGATTTTTTTATTTGTCGAATTTGGATGTTTGGTGAGATGATGAGTTTTGTTTTTTTTTGTTGTTGTCATTGGGTAGATTAAAGTGCCAGTGATTGTTGTTGGATGCAAGTTGGATCTTAGGGATGAGCAGCATATGAGCTTGGAGCAGGTTCTGTTGCCGATTATGCAGCGGTTTCGAGAAATTGAGACTTGCATTGAATGTTCTTCCCTCAGGCAAATTCAGGTACTTTAAAATATCCAGCCTTTGACATTTTAGATTGCATTATGATTGGTTATTTAGGGATTATGTGAAAAGTTTGTCGCAAAATAAGTCCTACATTGTTAATATTATGTAATTATTGTTTACCTATGTGTTCCCCCCCAAAGTTTGGATCTTGCTTGTGGTATTGTGAATTTTGACTGAGAGCGGAGACTGCTACATTATAAGAAATCATGATAAGTTAAAAGGTCAGAAGGCTTCTCTGGAATTTGGTTTTGAAATTTTGGACGGCTGAAATGATATTTTTGGACCCATGTGATAAGTTGAGATGTTGCTTGGTTTGAACTGATATGAATTAGATTGGTGCTTACACAGAGACATATGAAACAAAAATGACATTAACATTTATGTAGACAGTTGGTAGAATCTTAAAAGAGGACTAGACATGGATAAGGATATGGTAGTAATAATAATTAAGAAAATCCCATGTGCTGCTGACTCCAGTATTTTTCGAAAGGGCTAGTAGAAATCACAATAGAATGTCACAATGCAAGTCTTTAGGCCACAAAGATTGAAATTTAAACTATAAACTTGTAAGATTACACCATCCAAATTTCTAGCGTACACGAGTCCGTCTGCAACTTATTGATCAGCAGTTAGTAGGGAGTTATGTGGGTAAGAGTGTTATTGTCAATGTAGATGGAGTACTTCATCCGATCGCCCCACTTTTTGATCAAGAAACACAGTCATTGAAGCCTCGTTGTGTTAGAGCTTTGAAAAGGATATTCATTCTCTGTGACACTTAACAGGGATGGAGCACTAAGTGATTCTGAGTTGAATGACTTTCAGGTTTTATTATGCTCGCTATACCATTATCTTTGAATATATTCACTTGCTAGCTCACCTTTATCGTAACATCTTCTGTTGTTAATGTCCAACTGCAAATGATTTGTTTTCACGTTAAATGCTTCAGTGCTTCCCTCCCAGCCTAGTGACATTGTTAGAGTCAAGAAGGTTGTGCAAGAGAATATGCCTGATGGGGTTAACGAAAACGGCCTTACTTTGAATATTTAAGGGACTGGTATATTAAAAAAAACTATTTATGTTTGATATATTATCAAACTTAATGTGATTCTAAAATGTAATCAATTTGACCTTCAGGTTGGAGATATTGGAGGGAGTAGTAGTGGTTTTCGTACGAGGGATAGAGCCGTTGTCGCCCCCGACGAGATGTGAGGTTTTTTTATTTTTTATGCACTAAATAGTTTTTTTTTTATCTTTAATAGTACTCTATTTTATTCATCTGTGTTATGGACTTGGTATTGTTAGTGTATCTGTTGTAAATATTAGGATAAGATAGGTTTTTGCTGAAATGGATGTTGATTTGGATTGTTGGATGTATATATTGGACTTGATTGTTGGATGTGATATTGGATTGGATTGTTGGATGTATGTATTGAATATGAATATTGATTATATTTGATTGGATGTGTTTATAAAATATACATGAATTATGTATTGATGTGTATATCAGATGAATGTAATGTAAAATGCACAGCGAATAAACTTTCTGGAAAAAAAAAATTGTAAAAAATAACAACCTAGACAGAAATTCTGTTTAGATTGCTATATTGCTATAAGCAACCTAGATGGAATTGCCGTCTAGATTGCTTCCTAGACGGAAAATCCGTTTAGGAACTAACCTAGACGGATGTTCCATCTAGGTTGCAATCTAGACGGAATTATAAATTCCATCCAGATTGCTTTCCGTCTAGTTAGATCAACCTAAATGGAATTCCGTCTAGGTTGACTCAAACTAGACGGTATTTTCTTAGACGGACTTTTCTAGACGGATTTTCGTCTAGGTTGCTCTACCTAGACGGATTTCTGCACAACCTAGACAGTTTTTTCCGTCTAGTTTGCTTGTTTTTCTACTAGTGCAAAGATCTAATTTTTTTCCATCATTCCCATGTGCAACTCCCTCAAATTACCTTCAATCACAAGTCTATGTTGCAATTTGAATAAAAAAGGGGGAAGTTGGGGGAAAAGAAAAGAAAAGAAAAAGAAAATCCCTAACCTCTACGTCGTTCATTGATCATCATCTCGAAGGAAGCAATTGTTCTGATTCATGCATATCCAATCCCATCCCCCGATCTTCATCCTGAGCAAGAAACGGAATGGATAAATTTTAAAAAAAGACCATTTTTGAATTAATATTAGTAAAATCGACTTTGTTATAGCAAAATTAGTAAAATCGACTGTTTTCTGCTATTGTGGTAGAAAACAGTCGATTTTGCTGAAAAAAATTTGGGAATTACACGGGACTAGTAGTCCCATATAATTAAAGCAGACTAATCCTCATTAGTGGTGCATCCCAAAATGAGATCTATTTTGCTAATTTTATTATTAAATAGTCGATTTTGCTTATATTATTTTTAAAAAAGGTTTATTTTAAAAGTTTCTCCAAATGGAATCAATATGAAATTAAAAATGATAAAAATGTAACTTTTTAATTTCTATTTTTTCGATTGATGCCGTGGCTGACTTACACGTGATTTCGACCCTTCGGGTCCTTTCCTTGGGAGTAAAAGAATGGAAGAAAAGCCCAACTCCGGACTGCTCTCCCCTTGGTTATGTTATACAACCCTGCTATTTGGCTCGCGGTTAGACCGCGTGAGGGGAAAGGGGGGCGGGCCCTCACTACTATGGGGCCCACTCCCCTCACCGCGAGTTGGGGGCTCGCGGTCCAACCGCGAACCAAATAGCTTTTTCCTATGTTATATCCTCGGGTGGGACCCATCTTTTTTTCAATTTAAGTTCGCAGCTATGCATTGGAAAAGTAGGGTGTTCGACATTTGGGCTCAAGAAGGTAGGTTGAAAGGAGAAGGTCGGCATTCTTTATGGTCTTGATTGCGAAGAAACCATACAGAACTAATACTATTTGGTTTACGTCCATAAGCTCCACAATTTAAATCTTTTTATATAATTTATATAATTAGTATCATTCATGGGCTCATTAAGGGAAGATATTTGATGGGTGATTGTAGAGTTTTTCCAAATTAAAAATGTAGGGGCCATCCCTATAGCCGGTACACATTTATATAAGAACATTCCATACATTATTATTATTATTTTATGCAAGGATTTAGGGTTACGGCATAGGATAAATGGATCAAATGTAATTCTCTAAAATTATATAATTTCAATCGAATTTGCGAATTTAGTCACATATACTCAATAAAATTCGTGTACAACCAAATAAAAAATTGATTAGATTTTATTCCTCATGCAAATCCTCTTTAATATCCATCACAAACAATTACGATTTTAAGTATGACTTTTTCCAAATCCATTACACGCATCAAAATTCATCCATAAACTAAACAGCCCTGTAGTGGATTTTGACAAAAAAAAATCCCATTCTCAAAAGTCTTGTTCGTTTTGCAATGAATATCAAAGAGGAATAGGATGGAGGATAAAATGCAACTAAATTTTATGTGGTTGTACATGTTGAGGATGTGATTAAAGTTAGGTGGGCTCATAATATGCTTCGTTTTTTTAGGAGAAAAAGTATATTGTTAAGGCAATTGTTGTGATACAATGTCACGAACGTCAAAAACAAAGAAAATTTTGCACGTAATTATGAACTCTTTCCAACTTGATCACTAATTACAAAAAAAATTTATTGCATAAGCCCCCTTTGTAAAATGCGTTAAGTATTCTTTAAAAGAACATGTGCAAATCACATGCATATTTATTTTCATAAACAACGCACATCATCTTCCTCTCAACAACATGCTATAATAAAAGGAGTTTGCATGGCAGATAGTGAGAAATTTTCAAACCTTTCAATCTGATAACTGAAAGCCACATAATTTACGAGGCATTTTTTTGTCATTAGCAATTAGCATCATTTCATTGATGGTTTTTTTTTGCATATATACCCCTTAAATCAGGGGCATTCGCAAAAATACCCTCCAAATCTCAGAAATTGCAAAACTACCCTCAAATCATCAATTTTTGAAAGAGTTACCCTCAAAGCAATTAATCCTCAACTTTGATAAGCTAATTTATAACCGCAATGTAAAAATTATTAACAAAATAATCAAAATTTCAGCACCAAGTTGACAATTTGTTGATTTTAGGGGTATTGCTCACAAAGTTAATGATTTGAGGGTTAGATTTCACTGATCTTAATGACACTGAGCTATGAATACCGTACTGGAACCTAACTTGGAACGTGAAAGGCTTGAACGTCTTATGATTCTTTTAGTCCTTCACAGACACATTAGCATAACCTGCAAAGAGAGGGAAAACAGTAGGCAGCCAAATAATTTAGTATTGAATCATAGATGTAGCGAAGAAAGAAAGATAACATCAGAGTAAATTCTACATATACAAATAAAATATTCAAGTAGATTGGGAACTGTTTGCCGTAACAGCTTCACGCTCCTTCCTGAGCCGCTCTCTCTGAAAAAAGAGGCAAAACACAAGTTAAACCATAATTCAAAGTGATTCGATTAACATTGAGAAAAAAAATTATATTCTCATACAACTAGCTTTTCTTTGATTGCCAAATGACGTAAAAGAGTCAAAAAAAGATCACAAATATGCCGGAAAATCCATGAACAAATGTCGATCTTCATAAATTACAATTATTAACGCTAATCTAGGTCCAGTCAGGATTCATTTCGTGGTCGAAAGGGATGCAGAAGTTTTTAAGAAAAACTAAATATAAGCATGCTAACGACCATAGAATACGCAATGAGGATTATGTAGACCCTTGTACAGGCTAGCTTTTCTTTTATCAACAACTAATTGCAGGGAGTGGCATAAGGGTGAGTAAAATTTGCGAAAACTCCTGCTCAAACAATGAATAAAAACTCGCACTTTTGTATATCAATCAACCACTTGTCCTCTAACGATAGTATTGTCATATGATAATGATTACTTTTTAAGCTGTCAATAGCTAGCCAATAACATCAAGCATTGATTTTGGGCCTGATCTTATAAACAAATCTTAGCGACAAGGATTTCAAATTAGGCGATCCATCAAACAGTTTTTCACTTTCAAATGTAGCAAACATAGCCAATTCAAACCTGATATATGTGTTATCAGCACAGCCTAAACCCCTTGGTTCATATACTTCTAAAAGGCAGACTCCAGTAAAAATAAGGACATTCGGAATGAGATAAATGGGAAAAAGCATGATGCACAGAGCAACAAGTGTTAGAATCATGCAGAAGACTAGTTAGAGCTGCTGCAATATGACTGTAAAAAACAATACAGGACTTAGCGACCCTTTTTAGAATTTTAAACCATCAAATTTGACAATGATACAGGCAGCCAGGCCACCAACCATTATGGAAAATAATAGAAAATATTACTGCAATGCGTGTTCTAAAATTTATTGTTGATGTAGTTACAAGAAGCAACATTTAACAAATAACTGAGCATAATTGGCAAAACCAATAAAGATCATTCTGTTTCTAAACTCTCCGATGCAGTACGATAAACTTTTTTGAAGGTGTGACCAAAATTAAGTCATCCATTAAAGAAGTAGTGCATAGGTAGATGAAGTATTGAAGGACTAGATGCAATTAATCCCTTTACATCATATGATATAGCAGTGCATATGTGTTGCATCATCAGCAGATCAATATGTCACAAATTCTATAAACAAGATGGATATAGGTAAAATATCTATCACATTGGTGGATAGCTAGTCATAAGATCTTTGGTTTACATATAGCAGAACAATGTTCTCCTTCATTCTGTTGATATTAAATTTATAGTTCCCATCTTGTCAATAGATTATATGCAAGCATCATTTTCACCATCGTAATAATTCCATGAGCACTTGTTTATATTAGACATGCTCCCAACAAAGCTGAATTCAGGTGAATAAATGGAGCGTCCATGACTCCATTTCTCATCATCGACAAATATTTCTTCCGTCACACTCAGCTTATTCATTCTCCGGATGCAAGCTACTAATCAAACACTAGAAAGTGTTAAGTTAATCCTCGTCACGGAAATGAAAGATGAGTAACTAAGCCTTATTATCAGAGAGATATACGTATAGTTCCTTATTTGTTCCTTCAAAGCTTAATCCAACTTAATGTCCTAACATGTATCTCCTTAGCCATCGTGTAGTGCATTGACGACCTCCCGCTATCCTAATCAATCTTCATTAGAATCCCAATATCCTAATCAATCTTCATTGGATTTGTGTGTGTGTTGCAGACGAGACTGAAATAACAAATAAAGCACTATTATGATGAACATGATTCATAATTTTGATGAATCTCCATTCTCCTATCACAAAAAGTGAAAGGTTCTAAATGTACATTATTCTCATTTGCAGATTAGATGGACTTTCAGCCATGTTCACATGCTGAGTTCCTACTAAGAGGACCATTAATTCAACAAAACAGACTACACCATAATTACACAAATGCAACTGGTATATGACCATAATTTCCGTAATCCTGATCACCTCATTTCCAATTATTATCTACACCGATAAGCATCAAATGGACAAGACAACAAGAGCTATACCGAAACACAGCTCGGCTGAAATTTGTTTTACATGAAATATGAAATTAGTTTCGAACTATAAATCCAAGTGATCAAATAAAGAACGTACTCTTCTCTCCCAATAGGGATGAAAGCAGACGAAATCGTAGACCGGAGTGATTGTGGAGGCCAGCACCAAATTCACTCCCATGAACACCAGTAGCCCCGTCATTGGCCGAGTTCTGTGAGGCATCTCTTTTCTCTCTCTCCCTTGCTTGATTCCTTTATCAAAATCCCAACTTTCAGCTGATTCATTCTCAAATTAACAAAACAATAAAACCCATAAAATGAAATCTGGCAATGAAGCATATTATTTCAAGAAAATATCACAGATGTGTGTATCCTTTACAACACTAATATACTCATGTGACACCGATTCGTGCCCAAATTAATAAAATTAAGGAAGGAAAAACAAACCCATAAAAAAAATCTACAACAATTCATTGAATTTCAATAGAATTGGACATATATATATATATATATTGATCTGTTTTCTTGCAGGTTAATCGAAAGGGGAAAGAACTAACCTTGAGAGGGGAACTCGGAGAATCGCAGCTGCTGACGAGAGAGAAACTTCGATTTTGTTATGGGTCGAATTGGAGGAAGCGTGATGGGGTTTTAGGTTCGGGCTTTTTTCAATATTAGCCCCTTGATTTATTACTATTAGGCCCCTCAAATCATTCTTTTCCAGAACCCCAATTCCTATAGATTGTCTCTCATGAGGGTTTTATTTAAAAAAAAAAACATTAGTCCCTTAAATCATAAGTATTTTGCTCACCTTAATGGCTTAATTTCTTGATATTAGTCATTTTATTAACTTACCTGATAAAAATTTTAAGCTGTAATTGGATTTAGACTATTCGAAGATTAATAAGTAAATTATTATTCACCTCTCTCTTTATTCTGATTCTTTCCTTTTTTTAATCCTCTTCTAACCTCTAAGCCTTCTTCTTCGACGCTCCTGCTCTTTACGCAATTCAAGCTGTTGATTTTTGTGGTTTAATTGTTGATTTTTGAGTTTTGATTGTTGATTTTTGAGTTGATGATAGTGTACCATAGGTAGAAAAGGTTAAATAGTTTTTTATTTTAAATAAACAGGTTTGGGTTTTAGGGGTCTAACGAATTTAACTTTAAAGGGTTATGGATGTGGGTAGTGAATTAAAAGGTATAGATAATAATTTAAAGCTGGTTTTTTGCAAAGTCAGCCTCTTTTTTTAAAGGTCGATTTTGCTAATAATTTTACAAAAAGATAAATTATGCTAATTATTTTTCAATAAGTTGTCTTTTTAATAAATTCTCCTTTTTAGAATAGAAGGTAGAGTAAAGGGAAGTCAGGTAGAATAGGGGGATAGCTCAAAATGAATTAAAAATGAGAAGAGAGAAAAATCCCTCTAAATTAGAGGGATCCGAGAGGAGAGAGAGAGAGAGAGAGAGAGAGAGAGAGAGAGAGAGAGAGAGAGAGAGAGAGAGAGAGAGAGAGAGAGAGAGAGAGAATAAACTACAGATTTGGGGAAGCTTCCCCATTTTTTTCTCTTTCATCCCTATTTTGGGGAATGAGATGGGAAATCTGTTGGGCCAAAAACCTAACTAAATTCTCCAAAAGTAAGAAATGGAGAAGCTGTTGGAGATGCTCTTACGTCACCTCACCTCCCCTCTCAATCCGACTCGTATACAAGGTTAGTGATTCCTCGGTTAATTAAGCATTACCTCTCCACTTTAATGATCTCAATTAATTGCCTTATTAGAGTTAATAGTTTCATCTGATTAATTATTTTTAATTTATTCAAGTTATATATACAGGATTGCAACTTGGGAAGAACCGAAGAATTAATTCAATGTTTTTATCTTTAGATAGATAATTACCATCTTCACATGGTATGAAATAAAGATCTACATGTTTAATATTTGTTTCTGAATAAATAATTCTATTACAGCAGACATTAGAAATCTGATAAATATTGGGTTATCACAAAAATAGATAAAATAAAATTAATGTTATATTCTTTGGTGTTATGTTATGTATGGACCTAACTTTGTGGAATCTTTAAAATGTTATTATTAAAAGAGTATAATATATATGATGCTTGCAATAGTTTATAACATAAAATTATTATGAAAAACTGCATTACATAAGGAAATATAATTATAAAGTATTAAACATAAGTTAAGTGAAATTATATATTCAATTATTAATTAATGTACCAACATATATATGTTAGCAATTCCCGTTTCATGATAAATACTATATTAGCAAATATAATTAAACTATAAATTGATGGGGGAGTGAGTGTAGGGAGTGACATTTACAAAAGAATAAAGTACAAAATATTAAAAAATTGTCTGCCTATGCTTTGCACAAAGACTAGTATCACACGAAAAGCAAAGAGTGCGTTCTCATTTATAGTTAAATTATTTGGGGTATTTATTGAGAGCAAGATTCCTATGAGGATATAAAAGTTTTCCAAATTTTGAGGGACTAATTTAGCATATGAAAAGTTTAAGGGATCAAAATGAACCTGTAAAATTTAGAAAGGGGCACAGAGAAATGTGCGTTTCCTAGGGACTAAAGTGCAAATATTCAACCCGATCCGGAATCCTGTATCCACCTGCTGCTCTGCGTTGAGTTGTATTCGCTTTCGGTGGATCCCAAGCTACGGTTTACGGGGTTTTGGGAATAAAAATCATACCTTTTTCTTTTCGGTTTCGCGATTCGAAGAGGGGGCTAATAAGAGATATCACCGCTCCCAAAGGTAAAAATTTTCAACTTTTGATGCGCATTTTAACATCTCATTATTGCAAATTTGTGTCATTTATTCTTGATTCGTCCTGTTTAAGCGATAATTTAAGATTGAAACCCTGTGTTCGTCCTATTAATTTCAGTACAAAGCCATCCCCTGATACCTACTGTGTTGAGATCAAACGTAAGATGATGCCTTGGATCAAACTTAATCCAATGAGCTCTAACTGTGTCAAATGAGAGGGGCATAAAACTTCCATAAATGAGAATATAGGGGTAATTATTAAATATGCATACTTGAGAGATTAATTTGTAAATACACTAACCCCTCCGCCAAGTCCTTGGCATCGCTTTGTCTATTTTTCATAGAATAATGATAGGATTTGGATCCTCTCCACTACAAAAAAGTAGTGGAGATACCACTAGTTTTAATCTCAAGCGTTGATTATTTAGTAGGCGGTTATGATACAATCTAAATCTAACACTTACCATACCCCGTGAATTGCACTCATTCCTAATTTGCACTAAAAGAAAAAAATCATAACCATCAACTAGATAATCAATGGCTGTGATTATGTAGTGGTCCCTCCACTATTTTTAATCAATGGCTGTGATTATGTAGTGGTCCCTCCACTATTTTTTTTGTAGTGGAGAGGATCCGAATCCATAATGATAACTAACACTACTACTCCTACACTATTTCCACAGTACAAGAGAGATAAAGGAAGTTCATTCAAGGGGTCTATCAGCAATTAACACGTGCATATATAATGTTATGTCACGATAAATATTGCAGACACTGATATCCTTGATGCTAATACTTCCTCCCAAGTTTAGTGTTCGCGTCATGAATCCAAGCATTCCTGGTCAAATAAAGCTTCCTAGCTAGGGGCAACGTTCGTGAGCGGGCATAATTATGTTGTTGAAGGGGGTCTTACTGTGTTTAAGAGGCTGTAATTTTTGAGAGAATAGATTGTTGTTGTTGTGTGGGATTGATGCAGACATGACTTGTTTGATTGTTGTGTGGAACTTGACTAAGAATTTAATATTTTTGCTGTTCATATGGAATTATTTTCTAGTTATTTGTACTTGTCGTATGGATGCTACGAGACATCAATATGTTGCAGAAAGACCTTCTAAAGAGAGGCCCCCAATTCTCCTGACTGTTGAACATACATCCTCCATATGTAGATACATATAACCAAAAAGATAACTGCTGTTCAGTTGGCACTTGAGAATCCGATCCATCCAATTATTTAAAGAGGCTCCATGTTTGGTTTGTCGGAGCTTCGTTTTAGAATTTTGAAAATACCCATACACTTGAAAAAAAATATGTGGAAATGCCCTCCACGTCCGAAAAAATCAATGGAACTACCCTAAAACTTGGAAAATCCACACACACGCACGCACACACAAACTCTCCATTACCTTGGTAATTTGAATGCAATACTCTCCCAAGTTTTTGTGTCATCCACGGCTCCACACATTGCATGCACCAGAATGGCAGTTGTGTTGGTATGTTTTCATAAATCAGTGACGATTCAAGAGGGAAAGTTTGGTGTTTTTGTAATGGAAGAGCAAGATTACTATGATATCAAGGATTTAAGGGCCAGAGATTCGTCAAGAACGAGAATATTATTGATGCTGGTACCTATTGTCACTACAACAAAAGTTGTAAATTATGATACATTTTGTTTATCTCTACGCAACAAATTTTTGTGTCGCGCAAATAAAGTGCGGCACATATCAAAAGTGTGGTTAGAGCATGTGTGGAGAGCGTCTTTCTACACATATGAGGATGTGTCACAAAACTCACGACACATATATATGTTGAGAATGGTGACACATACATGTGTCATAAAACTCGTGACACATATATGTGTCAAGAGCAGCGACACATAAAATATAATTAAAGAATATAATCATTCAACACTATTACTTCCTAGAAGATCATCCATCCTAGGATTACTCTCACAAAAGCACACTTGAATACTTGACTATGAAGCTTTTTAGCTTGTACACTTTCATAAAATGTTTAATCATCTTCATAACTAAAATCTAAGATTTACTATTTAAGCACATTAATAAATCCTCTCACAATCATGTTGGACTATTAGCTTTTTTCAATTACGTTTAATTGTATATCTAATGACACAACTATTTGTTATGATTTGCTACACTTTTTATTTGTGTTACTATTATTTAATCCCTTATAAATAAAATAATATTTTTATATGTGTTATAAAAATAAGCATGGACACGTACAATTTTTGTTGTAGCTTGTGATGCTCCTCATGTTGGAAGTGGGTCCTGGCCTTGAGAGATTGTATCAATGCAATACATAAGTCCTTTTGTACCAGTTGCAGATTTATAAAGTAATCTGTCACTTGGTCTTCAATATTTCTTTATTGTTTATTTATTGAATTTTGCTAGTAGTGAGATTGTGGCCTGGCCGAAAAGTAAGACTTACGTTTGTGTTGCAAATTCAAATGTTCATGCTACTAGCAGCATGCATTGATTGCATGTATATCCTTGGTCTTGTCTTTTGTTGTTTCTTTAGCAGTTCGAGTTTGATGATTGTCCTCTTCAATCCTTTGTGTTTTCTCAATTACATCTATTGCGTACAAATCACTCTCGTTCAGCGAGGTAGTAGATGAAGGTGTGATGGGCTTTGGGTGTACAAATCACTCTCTCAAGCAGATCTATTTCTGTATGAGTGCATGCATGAATGAGATGGTATCTGACTATGCACACATGCACATGGGTGTATGCATGTGCACGCGCATTTTGTTTTACTTCCAGCACGCATTGTGCGTCTGTGTGCGTGTTTGCGTGCACTATTGCATTTGTGAGTATGCAGTGTGCGTCCATGCACGTTTGTGCAGACACATATGTGCACCACCACATGGGTGATTGGTTTGCATGGGTGTGTTTATCGGGGTGCTGGTGTTATGGATTTGAATTGAAGTAGAATTTGTTTATTTTATGGACTTCTCTCCATTCAGCCATTTACTCAAACTCGAAAGAAAATTTGCATAAAATATTAAATGGATTCTATTTTATGTATTGGTTTCTTAGATCTTTCATGTTTTTTAAATTAGTCTCGCAAATCATTGAAATTGTTAATTACAAAGAGATTTTAGAGCGGAGAGTGATTGGGCTCCGGTGGATCATTTGGGTTTTCTTTGTTTATCTCTTACCCTGCTATTTATAGAGACGACAAAATGCCAGGAATATTATCATGGTTGATTTGGTCAATCTTAGCCAACAGTCTAGTCCCACAAATTCTACGAGTTGCTCAAAATTGCGAAGAATATACCATTATATTTAACCATTTGACAATCATCTAGTTTACCGTCCACCTTGAACCCCCAATTTCAACCCCAGAAAAAAAGATAAAAAATTCAAGATTCAAGTGACTATTTCAACATATGAAAGATTTTAAGGGATCAAATTGAACCTTCGAAATTTATAAGGGAGAGAGAAAAGTGCATTTTAAAGGGACTAAAATGCAAAAATTCATACACTTATCCTTTTAGCCGAGAGCCCGATCCGATATTTTGTACCCAAACCCATTACTTTATTGAGTTTTATTCGGGGAAAATTTGCAAAATAGTCCGTTTTTGCTAATTATTTAGCAAAATAGACCGTTTTGCTAAATAATTAGCAAAATAAACCTTTTTTTGGCCAACATGCTAAAAAGAGGTCTATTTTGCAAAACAGCTCAGAAAACATACGGGACTAGTAGTCCCGTATGTTTTAATCATGGATTAGTGAACTCAGAAATTTTCACAAAACATTGAGATGAACTCAGAAAACATACGAGACTACTAGTCCCGTATGTTTTCTGAGTCACTAATCCGTGATTAAGTTGGCTCTAAACATACGGGACTAGTAGTCCCGTATGTTTTCTGAGTCCTCTAAACATACGGGACTAGTAGTCCCGTATGTTTTCTGAGTCTTGTTTTTCAAAATCGACCTTTTTTTTTCAAAAGAGGTCTATTTTGCTAATTATTTAGCAAAACGGACTATTTTACTAAATAATTAGCAAAAGCGGACTATGTTGCAAATTTTCCCGTTTTATTCGATTCCTTGAATTGAGAAACTAGGATTTATGGGTTTTGGGGATAAAAATCACACCTTTTTTCTTTCAAAATTTACCATCCAAAGAGGGCACTGCGAAAATATCAGCTGCCCATCGCTTTCATAGGTAAATTTTCTATTTTTTATTTTTGTCATTTTATCGTTTCCTTGTTGAAATATTCTTGTCATATTTACTTGATTTTCCCTAAAAAAGTCATTTTGCTAATGGTCCCTGAACAACTCGTCAAATCTAATATAAAAACTTTCAATAGTTTGTAGACTACATAGTAAATGTAAAGTTTTGCAATGTGAATTTAAAAAAAAAAATTCAACTTTTTCCTGAATTTTGAATTGCTTTCTAGTGATTTTTTAATACAATGCATTGGAATCAAGCCTAAAAATTCATACTTTTTTTTTCCCAGGTAGTCAATGGAATCTTTGAGTTCAACTCTAGTAACCACACTCTCTTCCAACCCAAACATAAGCTATGCATCACAAAATACCTCGGGTTTCTTCTTTTAGCATATTTCGTACCTGGAACTAAATCTTAGCAAATCCCATTTCGCTGCAAAACTAGGATTGCATAATGTTGTGAATGGCACGAGAGGGTTCAAGTGTCAACAGTTTTCAAGAAGCTGGAGAGTTATGTAGAGGGTAAAAGTGCAATTAGAAGGAAAAAGGTTGCAGTTTTGTGTTTCGGTTCATGGAGATGTCGTGGTTTTAGTCACGGATAAACCTGGTATCCTTCTTTTCTAGGCATTTTTAGCGATCGGGAGGGTGGAATAATTTCTCATACTCTATGAGTTTATTGAACGTTTTATATAATTCTTCATGCTTCTAATAGACAGGAAATTAATTCAATTGAACGTTGAGGTTTCCATGTCTGTATTCATATAAAATCTTAAATCTGATTTAGTATATTTATTCAATTTAATAGTCTTTAGTCTATAAATATAAAATTATTTTGTTAGGAAGATATTCCTATTTGATTAGAATTTGGTTGCTTTAGTAATATTTAAACTTAACTAATTTGAAAAACCATTCCTTTTATGATGATGACGTATGAATCTTTGTATTGAATGTTTAATCAATATTTTGATTTAAGACTCTAAATCTATCAAGGTAGTATAAAATGAGCATTAAACAAATGGACGTGGGAACAAAATATGACGTCATGAATGTAATAGCATAAATATGAGGTTTTACATGTTGTGCAGGATGAATAATATTCTTTCTTCTTTTCTTCCTCTTCTTGTTACATGCCATCAATTTCTATGGAAATTATCAACTTCTTTCATATTGTACTAGAGTTTAAAAGCATAATGAACGCATACTGTTTTCCACGATCTTGTAATAGAACTGTATTTTATTTGAATATCAGGTTGCAGTGGAGCTGAATATGCAAGAAATAATAGTATCCCAGTCATATTGTTCCCTAAGACCAAATCCCGACGGGTTATCAGCTGATGATCTTGCCGCTACTTTAAGGTGAAGAATTTGTCTTGGTAAATTTATGATAAACTGAATAGTTCACAGTTTTTTGCCCATTGTCATCCCCTAGGTCCTGTTTGGCAATTCTTCCGCTAACTAGGTTAGTGGAGTTAACCTGGTTAAGAAATTGGAATGTGTTTGGCAAAAGTGGTCCGTGATTGGACATGTTTTTTTTAGTTAAAAAAAGCCTCTTATCTAAAACACAGTTTCATTATGTGTGCGCTCCAATATCGGGTAGCAATTAATTAGATTATGCTGTGATTAACCGGATTATTCAGAATTATGCATGTTTTTGAAACTTTTGATATATATTGTTTATCACATATAAAATATAATAATTCATGAAAAAAAAATAAACATTCTAAGCAAAAGACTAACAAATAATATCTCAAGCTACTTAAATCAAAGTCGTTATACATTTAGAAGTAAAACTACTAACATCTCGTGTGGTATGGGGCAATAGGTGAGAATGGAATGCTCATTCCCGCTTCTCAATCATACGTGCTAAACACATCGCCTTTTTAGAAGCTAGAATGTCTATTCTCCATTCTCATTCATTTCCATTTTATGTGAGAATAAGCCTTCCCGATGAGATGGTAGGAAAATGGGTATTCCCACTTACGTGGGAATAAAAAATTTAGAATAATGCCTTGATTTCTTATTAATTATTAATACCAAAAATATAAAAGATTTTCATTTCACTTCATTCTCTAATTGCATCCAAATATGAGAATGAGAATGAGTATTCCATTCCCGCATTATTCCATTCCATTCCTTATTTTATTCCATTACTTTGATTCCCGCATACCAAACGATGCCTAAAAGTTCATAACCTGAAAACACTCTCATAAGTCATAACTCTTTAAATACAAACATAACTCGGAGGTGGTGATCGGTGACAATGGGTGGCGGTGGAGAGGAAATTGCGTGGGGGTAACTTGGTTTAGAATTTTGAGGTAGGCCCGGATAGGGCACATTATGTGCCCACATAATGAATTATGCGGGCGCATACCTTTTAACCGTTCGATTATGCGGTTTGACGGCATAGTCGAGGTGGTTTCAGCTGCCGAACACTTTTTGCTGTCGGGTAGGAGTACTTGGGTGGGTAGAGCGTGTTTTTGAACAGTGCTTAATCGGATGACTGCATAGTTGCAAGCACACCCTTAGACCTTAAACATATGCAACAGGCTCTGAACAATCTTATTCAATGAACACACACCATTAAAATAGAAATGAATGGAAGAGCAGAAGTGTCTTTTCATAGATGCACTGGGATAGATATTTATATATGAGTTAGGCCACCTTAGATAAAAATGCAACACTTCCAAGAGGTTAACTTTTCCCCCTTCTTCCTGAACCTTATCCAAATGATTTTTTTTTTGTTGACAGGAACCTTAATGTGGATCTCGTTCTCCTTGCTGATTACTTGAAACTTAGTCCTGGTGAATTGGTTCAGGCTTATCTGAGATCAATAGTAAACATTCATTCTACTCTTCTTCCAGCTGTTGGAGGCAAAGGATTTTATGGTTTAAAGGTGCATAGAGTCTGTCATTGCTTCTGGGGCTAGGTGAGGCAACAATCTTAACCCACAAGCCAAAACAAATACAGCCACAAAACAATGATATGAATGCCTTCATCTATTCATAACAAGTTATACTATCTTATGATCGTTGCCCTTTATAAACTTTCTATATGATGAGGTGCTATGGGGTTTTCTTGTTAAGTTTCATTGTATTTAGAACTAGTTATCACACACTCTCTCTCTTTTTTCGCACACACATTTGCAAATGCGCACACATGCCTACTTTACTTTTGTCCATCCTATTTCTTTTATGTCTGCATTCCATGACCCTGCTGATGAATTCATAAGTATGTGCTAATAAATGAACTCGATTTTTTTGTTAACATTCATGGCTAAGGAGCAAAATGATAAGGAAAAAATCAACTCATTTCTCCTTCACATTAAACCATGCTTTTTCATTTTCTATCTTGCATAAAAAATGCCATTACAGACCACAAAATTTCTGGGATAAAGACATTATTCTGCTTATTATTTTTGCTGATGCTGCTCTTGTTATTGTGTAATCCTTCTAATAGACATTAATTTTTGTTGAGTTTTTTTCGTTATCAAGTTCTTCCGTGTCTTATGTAACCCATACTTTAAAATGCAATTCTTGTATAAATTTTACTTTCACTGAATTTTGTTCATTTCATGATATTGATTTAGGCGTCAATTACTGATTAACTCATGTAAATATTCTTTTCCTCGATGAAGCATTATATTTGGTAAAAGAAATTAGTCATTGCTAGCATGTAATATTGACTGTCCACTTCGAAATAGATTAGCTCCATTTTCAGCTTTAATTTCAGTTCCTCCTCCAAATTTTAAAGGTCTTCAACTCCTACTGTGCACTTCGTGGATGAACATTTTGATACTGGTCGTATCTTGCTCAGAGGGTCATTCCCGTGTTACCAAGTGGCTCTGCAGAGCAGTCGGCTGCTAGGGTCCTACATGAGGTAATATACTCTGAATAGCTTTATACGTTATATCAGTGAACACAAACTAACTATAAGATTCATCACAAGGAACAAGCATCTTAAAATAATGCTGCATATTTTAGAAGAGGTCTGGAACTACTTTTGTAGCCAAAAAGGTCACTTACTGGCTAGAACAGTACTGTAATACTTGTGATTCAATTGGATAAACCTATTGACATGTTCTAAGATTTTGTCGGCGTCTATACCATATGTGACACAGAAATAAATGGAGTTAATGACCAAATCCACACAAAACGACTACTGTACTATGAACATACTAAATGACTACCATGCTGTGGGTAATTGCGTGAATAAATTTTCAAAATCATGCTGATTTTGAACTAAAAAAAGAGGGTTGACACCAGGTTATTGACCAATTTAAAACTGTCTTGCAGTGATATTATTTGAGAAAAATAGTATGCTACATTTACGATGCTAAAATCAATGCTATAATATCCCATCCCCCCCCCCCTCCTCTTGGTTCTAGCATTTGCTGGCCTTTTCTAACCTTGAATCCTTCATATTGCAGGAGCATAAAGTCTATGTCGAGGTGGTTTCAGCTTTATGCGAAGAGCTCATAGTTTGGAGAGAAGATGGTGTTCCTCTTATAAGAAGTGGAGAAAATCCTGATGAATATAGTTAATTATTGGCTTGAGATCCTTCTTTCTCTGGTCTAAATCATACTTAATAATTTCAGGGTTATTTTGACTTTGACCCTGGTGACAATCAAATACAAAGTAGATTGATAATGGTATCGATACTGATACAATTCACGAAATGTTGGTACAAAATGTAATACCATCATTTAGATGAGAGGAATTATAATGTACTGCTGTTTGTTTTATTCTCTTTGGGGCAAAAGGTCAATTACATTATTCTAATCAGAGTTTATGATTCAAAATTCCAATTTTTCAGAAGCTTAATCTGAAGGTGTGCTTTTTGCATCTAATATTTAAACGCAGGTGAAAATCTTGTACCTAAAATGCTTGAATTTGCCTAACGGCTGCGGACTGTGCTTACTCTGATGGGTTGTATTTGCCTCATGATTCATTTACAAATTAGAAGGACCAAAGAAAGTTGTGGTAATAATAATAGGACAAATTTTCAAAACAGTCCTCTTTGGACTTTTAATCCCAAAAAAAGACCCATTTCCAACTTATTTTCAGAAACCGACCTGGTTTCAGCGTCAGTGCTGAAACCAGGTCGGTTTCTGAATTTTTTTTTCGAAACTTCACGGGAGTTGAACTCCCGTGAAGTTTAGTAAGCTTTACTAAACTTCACGGGAGTTCAATTCTCGTGAAGTTTCGAATTTATTTTCCAGAAACCGACGTGGTTTCAGTGCTGAGTTTCTGAAAATAAGTTAGAAATGTGTCTTTTTTGCGATTATTATTGTAAACGGGATTGTTTTGAAAATTTGTCCAATAATAATAATAACAATAGAAAAATCAATGACAATAACACTAATAACGCATTTAATAAAACGAAAGAGAAGATTTTGGTGAAACAATATTTTTTTCATTAAAGAAAAGGCAAATGAATCAAAAAATATGAACGCTCATCTTCCTCTACCTTGGTCTGCATCGGAAAGTTCTGTTCACCGCTAGCGCGATTTGGTTGTCTTCTTTTAATTTAGTATATGAACATCGAAGCTGTTTATTTTGTCTTAAATGATCCTTTAAATTGAATTTGAACTACTGCATAGATGAATAATTATCAAAATTTTAATAACTATTGGATGAGCTTTGAACTTAAATTAACATAATTCTATTATTCCGATGCATGAGTTCACACAAGAAAAACACTATAGGCACACCCTCTGCCACACACCCTCTCCCTCTACAGTGCAGGAGACCCCACCTGAGATTTAAAAAAAAAAATCTTAGGTGGCCCCCCTTCACACAATGGGCGCATGATATAGAATGTGGGACAGTACTGAAGTCGAATTGTCAAAGGAGACAGAAAGTTTATTAGAGTTTTCATTTCTTTATCTTCTCAACTGCGGGGCGTTGTTGATTTTTTCAAGTGTAGGTACTTCCGTTGATCTTTTTCAAGTGTGAAGATATTTGTATTGATTTTTTTTTTCAAGTGGGGCAATAAAATTGTCTTGGTTTCCAAGTGAGAGATCATTTTGGGCTCGGAACACCAAAGAGCTTTTTTTAATACATAGTTTGCCAAAACTAACTTTGTTGGTTTTATTTTTTGATATTTAATTATCAACCTGCCATTTTCAGTAGCTTATATAAATTATATCTCTATAAATCGTTTTTATAAGCAACTTATTATAAGATTCAATCATACCAAAGAAAAGAAAAGAAAAAAAAAAAGACAATTTTACTTCTACTAATGGATTCAAATCTCCTTTTTGTTCTCCTCCTCCTCTTAACCTCTCTTTCAATCTCGAATTCGATTCAAGAACAAGGGGTAACCACTACTTTCTATGTGATGCCTTTTTGCCCTAGGGTTTTGATTTGAAATTGATTTTTTTTTTGGTGTAAAATTGATTAGTTTTGTGGTATTGGCTGCGGTTTGGAGTTCGATGAGAGCTCTGGGAAGATATTGGTCAAAGGAGGGACGGTGGTCAACGCTCATCACAAAGAAGTTGCTGACGTTTATATAGAGGATGGGATCGTTGTTGCAGTGAGGCCTAATATTTTGGTAATATTCAGTTGATTTTGTTGAAAAAATGGAGTTCAGTGACTTGGGTATATTAAATCTGGGGTTTCAATGAATTTTCTTTGATTTAGTTTTATTTAAGTAGTTACAGTTCACTAGAACGTGTTATTGGTGTTATTGCATAATAATATTTAGTTATTATATGATTGAAATTTGATATAATTCATCAGTAAGACAGGTAATCACAATATCAGTTTATCTAAATTTTGTTGAAATTTAATAAATAGCTGTATGAGAAGAGAGTTAACTCAATTAACAAAGTATAAGTAAAAGGTAAAATTGTAAAAACCCGTCAAATAAGCAAATTGTTCATCTAGTTTCAGATTACAAGAAATTAACTTATCCATCAACCATCATATAGTTAGAATTAACCTGGCGCTTTCCTAACAGAAACTCATGAACACGGTCATCGTCTTCCTGTGATAGAAACCTTAAAGCATCCTGATTATCTTCTTCAAACAACAGATATCGTAGACTCAATATTAATAGATTGGAGGAGGTTGACCGGGTTCTAACTTTCCCCCCCCAAGCTCATCCATACCCTGTAAACCACCTTATCCTTTCTTTCAATCATGATCCCATATGCGCATTAGCAGAGCCGCACAAGTTAGAATACTAGTGGTTCTTTTCCTGCAAAACAAGGAAAATCATTGGGGAATCAGTATAGCAAGGGATAAGAATCATGAGAGGAGGCGAGGGAATATTTGAAGATAGTTCAGTACATTCTCTAACAGAGAAATTGAGGGGTAACTGAAAGGTTTGACTGCAAATTGTCCCCCACACCACCATGCGAGGCGGTGGGGTGGGGTTGGGGGGTGTAAATTCAAAATATGATAGATGAACAATTTTTCAAAACGGACTGATTTTTTTTTTTTTTTTTCAAAACCGACTGTTTTTTTTTTATTTATCAAAATCGACCCGGTTTTGTGATTAGGCTGCTAATCACTATCCTAAATAGTCGGGGTTGGCAACCCCGACTATTTAGGAGGGTGTTAAACCCTAATTAAAGGGTGATTAGCAGGTTAATCACTATCCTAAATAGTCGGGGTTGCCAACCCCGACTATTTAGGATAGTGATTAGCCTGCTAATCACAAAACCGGGTCGATTTTGATAAATAAAAAAAAAAACAGTCGGTTTTGAAAAAAAAAAAAAAATTTCAGTCGGTTTTGAAAAATTGTTCATGATAGATTTAAGGGTATGTTGGAAAAAAACCTAAATAAAACTACAATATAATTTTATTTAAGAACTAAAAAACTTTAAAATGTATCGAGATGGATCTACGAGGAAAGGATATAAAATAAGTGTTAGTAAATGTTTTATTACTCTCATAATCATCCAAAGCTGTGTCGTGCTTAACTATTTCATTGTCATGAGATTTCACTATCTAATTTAATATATTCTGCATAAATGCTGACAACAGATTGGTGATGATGTGACAGTAATTGACGCCACTGGGAAGTATGTGATGCCAGGTGATGCACTAATGCTTTTCTGCATATGAATCATAGTAGGTTTCCCAATGTAATATAGATTATCACATGAAGCTAACCATCTTCAGTAACTGAGATTTTTGTCTTCTTCAACTGTGATAGGTGGTATTGATCCGCACACGCACCTAGCAATGGACTTTATGGGGACTCAGACGATTGATGATTTTGTCAGTGGTCAAGCTGCAGCTTTAGCTGGGGGAACAACAATGCATATTGATTTTGTAATTCCAGTTGATGGAAGTTTAACCGCAGGATTTGATCAGTATATTGATAAAGCTAAAAATTCAGTAATGGATTATGGCTTTCATATGGCTGTGACAAAATGGGATGAAACAGTCTCGAAAGACATGGAAGTCATGGTTAAAGAAAAAGGTCGGTATTTCATAATTGTTTTGATCTTTTATAGGAGATTTAGTTATTTGATTTAAATTTTAAATACCTATTACTATCAATGTTATTTCGAAATAGCTGTCTAAGAAAACTCTGGTTAGATCACCTTGTTTGACATTAAATACCTTATTTAAATAACATCAGGGATCAACTCTTTCAAGTTCTTCATGGCATACAAAGGATCACTAATGATCAATGATGACCTTCTACTGCAAGCTTTTGAGAAGTGCAAGTCACTTGGTGCACTGGCTATGGTTCATGCAGAAAATGGTGACGGTGTAGCTGAAGGACAGAAGAAAATGATAGACCTTGGTATAACTGGTCCAGAGGGTCATGCCCTTTCCAGGCCTCCAGTGGTAATGCTCAAAGAAATATTTCTTCCCCTGGAAGAAATCTAAATATTTCCTTACTATTTGATTGTCTTTCTCTTGTTAGATTCTATTCTATTACTCCCCCTAACTGGTCCTTTTATTTTTAAAAAAAATCTACTTCAGCTGTAGTCAAAACATATGCTTCTTTCTTATTTCTTTCGAATCACTTGTTGCAGAGTTCTTCCATCCATTTTTCGTATTTCTTACTGCACCTTATATGATACTAGAAATCAATCATAAATATTCTGTTATTATCATCTATTTACCATTTTTTGCCTCTCTATATGTAGAAATTTCTTTCTGTGGCGCCATCCACATTTATGTTATTAGGGAAGTATACTATTTTACGGGCATGAATAAAGTACTAGATCAGGACATATAAATTTTTTTCCTTAAAAAGTTTGTTTAGCATTCCAGTTTAATTTACTATGCACTGGATTTAATCAATAACCATTCTGTAAGCCAATTATTCTAGTTTCGTAGCATTGAGAAAAGTCTCCCAACATGTCCATTAATCAATGATTCAATTCAATTTTCACTTTTACCTTCTGATGCAATTTAAATGATGCTTTTGCAGTTGGAAGGAGAAGCTACCGCTAGAGCTATCCGTTTGGCCAGTTTTGTGAATACACCTTTATATGTGGTTCACGTGATGAGCACTGATGCTATGGAGGAGATAGCAAAAGCCAAAAAAGCAGGTCAACACTTTTAGTTGTTCATCTATTAAGTTAAGTATATAGAGTTCTTTCAATTTTCAAGCTTACTCAGTGGGGGAGTCAATTCCTTGGGATTTGGGATCTCCATTTCTGGAATATGCAGTTTTTTTAAGCAAGCAAAAGTATTTATTTAAAAAGTTTGTTTGGACTTCTATATTAGTGAAACTAGTTAACTGCAACTCATAAAATAGGAACTTAGATTCCCCTCACTCAGTAGATGAACCGCAAGTTTCTTATATCCCTGAGAATCTCAATTTCTGTGCCTCCCCCTTTTGCTCCCCCATTATCATGTCCTTCTGCATGTATCAGAGATATACTTCACGTCTAGTAATTTTCATCTGATATCTATACCCCTCTCTTTTTACAAGTACGATATCCCATTTGACAACATTGTACGCTCATTAATTTACTGCTATATGATAAAAATGTGCAGTGCTTCCTTGTCTCTTTTCCTCAAAAGATTCTTTCTATGCATTTCTTTTGTAAGCACAAGATGGTTATATGACTTCCCATTTGACAGATTCAAAAAATCTTTCTTACTAGTTTCTTTCCAGATATATCTTACACATTTGCTTCTCAACAATAATCCCTTATTTACTTTGATTAATTAAAATTTATATTGCAGGTCAAAGGGTTGTTGGGGAACCTGTTGTTTCTGGGCTAGTCCTTGATGATTCTTGGCTTTGGGACCCTGATTTCAGTATTGCTGCAAGGCAAGAGCCTGACATCCTTATATTTCTTTTCTTTTTTCGTCATTTATGTTTCTTGTTTTGGTACCTAATAACCATTCGTTATCATCTTCCAGATATGTAATGAGTCCTCCCATAAGAAAAGTAGGTCACGGTAAAGCGCTTCAAGCTGCACTTTCGACTGGAATTTTACAGGTAACACATTTCCTTCCTCAGTTTTGGAACCATTAGCTTCAACACTAAGCACAGTTGACCAATTCTGGAACAGGGCTTGAACACCAACTGTTCTTTGCTATTAACTTGACTGTCGTGATATCATATATCATGGATTTGCTATTAACTTGACTGTCATGAAGGTTTTGACTAGTTCCTGAAGACTGTGATATGCCAGTATCAAATGCATAACTGGTTCATGAGTGCCATAGTTTGCAACTTTGTATTTTGTTGTTCAGCTGAAATATGTAATCTATCTTTTTTCTGTCCTGTTCCAACTTGAACAATCGGAGAATTAACTAAAGGTCATTTTGGTATGGTGCAGCTTGTTGGAACTGATCATTGCACATTCAACTCGACACAAAAAGCTCTTGGTTTTGATGACTTCAGAAAGATTCCAAATGGTGTAAATGGTATGCTCTCTTTGTGTGAATGGAACTAGTATCAGTTTAGAGTCACTTGAGTTAAAACAATTTTAATAGTCCAGCTTATCTGCACTACTAAATTGCAGGTATAGAGGAAAGGATGCACTTAATTTGGGATGCTATGGTGGTAAGTTGAACACTGACAGCTGCCTTTGTTATAATTTATTTACCATACAGTTTCTTGTCTGACTCTGAACACATGGAATAAAACCCTTCTGTTAAGTTTAAAATTCAGTCATCATTCTGACAACTTATATACATGCAGGAATCTGGCCAAATATCTGTTACTGACTACGTGCGAGTAACAAGTACCGAGTGGTATGTTAATATTTTAGATGATACTCTTCTATTGTTCTCTTCATTATTAATGAGAACTCATTAACTTCATGGTATACTGCACATATTAGATCCACTTCAATTATTTACGCATGCTTTTATGTGAACCATATATGTCTACAGTGCCAGAATATTCAACATATACCCAAGGAAAGGAGCTATCTTGCCAGGATCTGATGCTGATATAATTGTACTGAATCCAAATGCAAACTACAAGATAACCGCTAGTTCTCATCATTCAAGATCTGATACAAATGTGTATGAGGGAAAGATAGGAAAGGTAAACACGATCAGAATTACCTACTGGCAACTAGTTGAGACCTCACCTTCTTTTTTCTAGTTAGGTCTTTTGCTTTATGTTACTTCATGTTGGTTTGCATTCTAACTGTGCTATACCGAGGGGGAAATACAAATGTCTTTCTTAACTACTAGTTAAGAATTATGTACTTAATGAAAAATAGTAAATTATATATTGATTTCTTCCTCTGTCCGCACTATATTTCATTTTTTTTATCCGTTCATATGCACTTACATCATTTACTGAAGTAATTTTCAGATACTGATTAGGTTACTGACATGCAACTTAACTGTTCGCTATCAGGGGAAAGTGGAAGTGACAATATCAAGAGGAAGAATTGTATGGAGACATGGCAACTTGAATGTTGTTCCGGGTTCTGGGAAATACATGAGGATGTCCCCGTTTAGTTATCTATTTGATGGAATAGAGAAGGCAGATGCTGAATATTTGGCTTCCCTACATGCTCCTGTTCAGAGAACCTCAGTTGCATCTTAAGGTTTGAAGACTTCGATTTATTTGCAAAGTGGGCTTTAAGAATAATAGATTAAATAATTTGTATATAATTGGGAAATACTTGAAGTTGTTTCCAAGAGATTGAGCTTGCATATCTACGGGGCTGTTTAGGCATCCAAAGCTGTGTATGGGGCTATCCTTTTAATTTGAAATGACGAGTTATATCCCGATATTTTCATACGTACTCTGTTATGGCCATGTATACTGGCATTTTACTTGTACACTTATGTTAAACTTTCTCATAAATGTTCTCTGTTGTCCATGTGTATCTGTAGACTCATTCCTCATTGTAAAACATGCTACGCAAAACTCATAAATGAGGGGAATTTTTGCTTAAGATCCTCTTTCGCTGTCTATGATAAATGTCGGTTGTTTGCAAGAAAGTAATGTAACAATGCTTTGGTTAGAACAACTTCAATGTAACGAATACTACCTTTTGCAGTTGTTCACTCGATTTCTGATCCTGCTTAATCTTTGTTTTGGAGCTAAATTTTTGGGGATGCACATTCTTTTGAATAAAACCCATTTTAACTTGGATGAGAAATTTCTCTCTAAATTAGTGAGAGTGTCACATTTTCATGACGGTAATATAAGGAGTAAATGTAACAAAACTATCATGCAATTTAAAAAGGTTTTACATGAAACTTTCAAATAATCTACAGGAAAGTATCACAAACTTGCAAATGAGTAGAAAATAACCACGTACTTTCGAGAGCAATACAATAGTTTTTCGATGATATTTGAAAAACCATATTTCCTATCTGAAAATAACGTAAACTTCATGACCTAAAAAACCCCAATTTGGTCAAATGCCCTGTTGAGGATTTTTTTTTCTCTCTCTCAAAGACATGTTGGTCATTTGCCAATTACATGTTTGGGTGTTTGATGAGGAAAGGCTAAACTGTTAATTTGGGGGTGGATACCAACCTCCGCCGGCGAGGAGCTCCGACGAGCTCGAGGATGACGCAGGCGAAGCTGGAGGCGAGGTTCAGGCGAGCCTCGGGAGCTCAGACAAGCTCGAGCTCTGCGTTCGAACCCCCCCTTTTAACCTCGGCGTTTTTGGCGAATTCGACCATGGCGTTTTCTGGATCCGACCTCGGCGTTTGACCCAACCTTGGCGTCCAAGCAGGCGCTGCGCGACAGGCTGTCGCCAGCCCATCGAGTTCGCCTATAAAAAACCCCCTTTCACCCGATGCCCTAGTGCGGTTTTTCCCCCCTCCGTTTTTTCTTCTGGCGGCGACCAAAACGCAATAGCGTTACAATCTCCAGCTCTCAATTGTTTTTGAGGGGAGATTAAGAAAAAGATTTAAGAAGAGAGAGGAATCTAAAGGGGGTTTATATTGTGGGTTACTCATGTTGGCCTTCTTGTTTTGATGATGTTTAACAAACAATTTACTTCTAATATTGTTTGTCTAGTATTTGTGCTTTCTTATTTATTGTAGACAAACAACGTAGTTGGAGGATGGATGGATTGCGCCATAATGATCATATCTAATGGAGGTTGGCGGAATTGTGGAGTGAAGCAACGTACAATTCAAAGTTAAAGATCAAGTTCAAGCTTCATCCGCAACGTTACCAAGTCAAGCTTATTGAAGATCAAGATCATTGCTTGGGTAATTTAGTTTAGGAATTTATATTATGTGTGTTAGTACTTTAAGCTCAATCATATACACACATACACGTTTTGGTTTTTGTATATATATAGTTATATATATACATATATGTTTTGGTTTGATAGTTTTCAAGTTTTACTATGAAACAATTGAATATAATTAGAAAACATATTTTTGTTTCATACTCATATGCATATATATGATTTCATCAATATCAATTTTAGTTAGTTAAATGAAATCATGTTTTAGTGCATTATATGTGTATTTTGATAAAATACTACATTCATTGTTTATAGACTTCATAACAATAGTTTACATCTTCTATTAAGTCTATAAAATCATTTTGTATTGTTTCAAAACATGGTTTAGCTAAAATGACAAAACTCATGTGTTTATATTTTCGTGTTTTGGACCTCCTTGCAAAATGATTATATTTTACATTTGGGAAGTCCTTTCTGATAACCAGTCGCTGTAGCATGTTTATTATCATGTCCACAATCATTCCCCAAAATTTTACATTTTTTGGAATTTATTTGATATTTTTAAACAGCGTTTTAAAATCAGAAAAACAGTTTTTGAATATGTCAGATTTCGGTCGACCGCACCGGTCGACCGATCCTGAATTCATGTGTTCACTGGGCGACAGAGAGTCTGTCGGTCGACCGGTCCGGTCGACCGATGAAAATTTTCGGTCGACCGACGAATTTTCCGGTCGACCGACAAGGTCTTTTTCTGCTTCCAACGGCTAGTTTTTTGACCGTTGCCTTGGGGCTGTTTTTGTCTTTTGCTCAGATTTTTGGCTGAATTCTTGGGAGGCTATATATACCCCCATTGCATTCAATTCTACAACTTATAAGAGAAAAGTTTTTAAGAGATTTACAAGTTTTGTTTAAGGATTTAGTGTTTGTTTAAAAAGCTTTTAAGCATTTACAAGAGTTTGATTTGTGGAGCAAATTTCACAAGAGCAAGTGGAGATCATCCTTGGTGTTTGAGCATTCATTCTTCTCCCTCTCTCTTGTCATCTATAGAGAAGTTTTCTTAAAAATTCTAGCTATTTATTGTTTTGATCTTAATTTCCATAAGCTAGATTTCTATATTGAGTTTAAATTGTTTTATTGATACTCTCTGTTCACACACAACCTATTGAGCTTATTGTATTTACATTCATAGTATAATTTGGGGTTGTGGGTTTGTGACTAAGAGTTGTGCTTAATTGAGTTCTCACCTTGTTTAGAGAACAAATCATTTGATTTATATTGTGCTTATTGTGAGGATTCACTTGTAATACACTTGTACACCGAGAGAAGTGTGTGGTGAGAGACGGGGTCGAATCCAAGAGGAGTGGCGTCGGTTGACGTGCCTAGGGAGAGGTTGTAACCGAGCACTTGAGGAGGAGGACACGGGCTAGGACCAACACTTAGTGTGTGAGGTGTGATTACATAGTGATTGTATTGTGAGGTGTAAACGTTGTTCGGGTGAACGTAGAAAACCCGGTTGTGATAGTGGAGATCTCCTCGAGGTGAGGAGCGGGGACGTAGGTCGTGGGGACCGAACCTCGTAAACATATCCTTTGTTTGTGATTGCATTGGCGCACTTGTTTTCATGTTCATATCTTACATCGCCATTGTGTATTGCTTGTTGATCATTTTGCCCTATCACATTTGTAGTTAATTTTTTACCCCTCTTGTTAGTTTTATATCCTTGCACATACATTGTCTATATCTCTTTGTTAGGATATATCTTATTGTTTATATATCCTTACATATATTTCTATCATATAGGATATATCACCTTGTGTATATTACATATTCTTGCACATAACTCTTTGTATATCTATCTTGCAAGAATATATTTGTTAATTAGTTTTAATTGGTATTTAATCGGATTAGATTAGCATAAGACTCTAATCACCCCCCCTCTAGGGTCTAACAACTCATTTATTCCCAAGAGAGAATTGAAAGGGATTATTCCCTTTAATTATTAACACTGTAGCTACAGTGTTTATTTGAGAAATCTCAGTTTTGAGATCTGCTCTTAAATTATAATTTCTTGTTTGATTAATAAGAAATTGACTGTGTGGCTCCCGAGGACGTAGGCAGTTGCCGAACCTCGTTAAAATTTGGTGTACTTTTTCCTATTCTGTGTTTCTGTTGCATTAGGGATTTAGGCGTTAAATTCCCAACAACTGGTATCAGAGCGTGAAACGATCTAGAGGAAGTCAGATTCAAGTAGGAGCCATGGCCGCAGATGAAGGAAAAATGAGACTTGAGAAATTTGATGGAACAGATTTTGGATTCTGGAAAATGCAGATAGAGGATTATCTGTATCAGAAAAATCTGTATCAACCACTATCGGGGAAGAAGCCAGATTCTATGAAGGCGGATGAGTGGAACCTTCTAGATAGACAAGCCCTCGGAGTTATCAGATTAACGTTGACTCGCAATGTTGCGTTCAACATAGCGAAGGAGAAGACCACGGCGAGTCTTATGGCAGCTCTCTCAAATATGTATGAGAAGCCATCAGCCGTGAACAAAGTTCATTTGATACGGCGATTATTCAATCTGAAAATGGCGGAAGGCGCGTCAGTAGCACAACACCTCAATGAACTTAATACGGTTACCACCCAATTGAGTTCAGTTGAGATTGAGTTTGATGAGGAAGTTCGGGCGTTGATACTTTTGTCTTCCCTACCAGAGAGTTGGAATGCTACAGTCACAGCTGTGAGTAGCTCGTCGGGAAAGAAAAAGTTGAAGTTCGGCGACGTTCGTGATTTGGTTCTCAGTGAGGAGATCCGACGGCGAGAGACTGGTGAAGCTACAACCTCTTCAGTATTGCATACAGAGTCAAGAGGTAGAAATTCAACCAGAGGAAACGGACGAGGAAAATCAAACTTCAGAGGTAGATCAAAGGACAGGAGGTCCAAATCAAGGAATCCAAGCAACAGCTCGAAGGCTATCGAGTGTTGGAATTGTGGAAAGACCGGGCATTACAAGAATCAGTGCAAGAGTGCACAGAAGGAGAAGGAGGCGAAGGCAGAGGTGAATGTCACCTCCACTTCAGGAGGAGACGACGCATTGATATGCTCTTTGGAGAGCAAGGAGGAATCTTGGGTGTTAGATTCAGGAGCGTCGTTCCATGCTACCTCTCAGAAAGAATTCTTCGAGAAGTATACCCCCGGAAATCTTGGATACGTATATCTTGGTGATGATCAACCATGTGCTATTGTGGGCAAAGGCGTGGTGAAAATTAAGTTGAACGGGTCAGTATGGGAGCTGAAGGATGTCAGGCATATTCCCGACCTGAGAAAGAATTTAATATCCGTAGGCCAGTTGGCTGGCGAAGGATATACCACGACCTTCCATGGAGATGATTGGAAGATCTCAAAGGGCGCAATGACGATTGCCCGAGGCAAGAAGACTGGTACCCTGTATATGACAGCAGGTGCACGTTGTTCGATCTCAGTTGCAGCAGGCAATGAGACTTCAAAGCTGTGGCACCAGAGACTCGGTCATATGAGTGAAAAGGGGATGAAGATCATGCACACAAAGGGAAAACTCCCAGGACTGCAGTCAGTGGAGATGGATATGTGTGAAGAATGTATAATTGGAAAGCAGAAGAGAGTCAGCTTTCAGACAAGTGACAGAACCCCCAGGAAAGAGAAGCTAGAGCTCGTTCACTCAGATGTGTGGGGGCCAACAACCACCGCGTCCATTGGTGGAAAGCA